TGTTTAATTAGGATTATTATTATTGGAAATTGATTTCTAATAAATTGGCAACAAATATAAGAATAAGAGTTTAACTCATATTTTGATTATACAGTCAAAACATTTAGTTTGCTAAATTGGTAACGAATGCTTTTGTAGAGGTATGGATTCAATTGAATCATTATAAGTTGATTTCACTTTAAACTATACCTTTACCGTTAGTTACTCGTTAGCAAATGTTTACTCAAAATATTAGTTATTTAACGAACAAATTAGTTAATTAGAAACTAATTTCCAATAATAAAATCCTAATTAAACACTAGCCATACTACATGTATATTAGTAACGTTTTAATATACGGTCAATATATTGATGGCCAGTCGCCTTACCAAACCTGTATGCCTGATGGTATGTATGCCTCACACTCTGAATGTGTGGTAAATGTGTGTGAATTGAGTGAAAGAATGTCTCATTTAATACACAATTGTGTAAATCTAACTCAAAATGTGTTAATCGTTTCAATGGAGACAATGATTTGGGCGACAATTGAATGGCTAATACGTCGCCCTCATAAGAGACGTGATATTTACTCAGTATTAACTCCAGTCGTCGTAAGCTTTGCATACGACCTATCGATTCATACAATCTTTCCAATTGTGGACCACTTTGACAAGAAAAACGCAATCAATATCTCTTTAGATGCGGCCATTGATTGACAAATTCTGTGCAGTCATAGTCAACGATAGACTCAAAAGTATCCTCAACAAGCCCACAAATATCAAGATTTAATTCTCGCAATGCTCTCATTTGTGGCATGAGCTTCAGTACACGAATAAATGCATCCGTCTTAATGTAAAACATAGCAAGTTTTAAACACTAAGCGATTCTTATAGTAATCAACAAATGCTGGCAATCGTCGCAATTTAGAATCGCTGTAAGAAAAGTCAATTTCTGTTAAATTCTTCACTAATATCCAAAGCTCTCATTTCAAGGGATTTTAAGTGAGGTTCACATCACGCATAAAAATTTTGGTAAAAATAATATATTGAAAAACATGATAAATGAGTACAGTATGTTTTTAAAATTAATTGAAATTTTATTAAATGCATGATAAATTAGGAAATACAAAAATTAAATAAATAAATTTAAATATTATTAAATACTACAATTCATGATTATACTGAACAAATAAATACTTTTCAATATTATCAGTTTTTAAAGACATTCTTCTATCAGTTAACATAAACTTAAGAGTTGAGAAAGACTTCTCCACCCAAACTGTGGTCATTGGGGAATAGACTTCCATCGGATCGTACTTTTGGTTAAGATACCAAAGAAAATCTGTATTCTTAGACAAAGAACTTTTCAATTTATCCAAACAAGCCTTATCGTTTATGGCCTTAAATTTTTGTAGCAATTTATTAACCATTTGAATTTGTTCATTAATTGTAAGAGAATCCTTTTGAACCGCAACAATAGAATCCGTCAAAAATTTATATTTTAATAAATTATTTAATTCTACTCTGAGCTCTTTATCCGCAATAAGTATCTTAAGCTCCGAAAGGGCTTTGTTTTTGTGTGATATTTCAGTTATAAATTTGCTAATCTTGTCGTAGTGTTCTGCATAATAGTAACACACTTCCAACCAAGTGCCCCAACGTGTGATAACTGGTTGTTTTGGTAAAGCAATTTTACAAATTTCTGTAAATTCTCTTTTCCTTTTCGGTGAATTAGTCAACAATTCTTTAAATTTTGTAACGAAAGTATTGGCCTTAAGATTGTTATGTCGAATTGTTTCACAAACTCTTTGCATTGCGTGAGCAATACATGTCACATGTTTCATATTTTTGAATGTCTGTTTTGCTTTTTTCACTGCATTTAAACAAGCAGGTGCTTGATCAGTTAAGCACAGGACAACATTATCATAATTTATGCCCATTTTATCACATGCTTTTATTATTGCGCGTTTGATGTCATCGCCAGAAGTTCCCTCGGGATAGAGAGTTGCAATTAAATAAGGTTTTGTCGGTTTATTGTTTAAAACACCACACATAATGTTGCACACTGATCGTTGCAATCCATCTGAAGTTTCATCCACTTGAAGATATACTTTATTGTTTCCAATTAATTCTTTAACATTTTTAAAAACCATATCGTAAACAATTGGGACATAATTTATTCTGAGTGTGTTTGGCATTGGCATAGTTTGTTTAGTCCAGTCAAATAAGAATGATTTTAAAGCAGTACAATTTAATCTTTCAAGTGGTATGCCTGCAGCCATAAATACTGCAGTAATTGCCAACCAGAACTTATTAATTCCGTTTCTCACATTTTTATCAACAAGAGTTGACAGATCTTCAGTTGATTTGCGTTTATTTGATTTATTTTCCAAATTTTTTGTGTGTTTCTTTGTGCACTTGTGTTGCTGTACATTACATTTCACATGATATATATCAATGTTATCAAAATATTGCTCACAAGGTATACACTGCAATCTGCTGTCATGAATGCAGAAATTTATATCGTTCTCACAGATATCCCATAGAAGATCCTTTAATTTCTGATCAACATTTTGTTTTTTTACAAACGATTCAAAAGCATTTTGATAATTGGTTTTGTTTTTCATAGGATTAGCCATTTGTATGCAAAAAAATTAATCAAAATAATGACTATTATAAGTTTTTATTGAATCTAAACTTTTATTTATAAACTCAGAGCACATATACTGTCAAATAAATATGGAACGTTATTTATTGTCTATAACATAAATGGTGTTTATATTGAGTCGTATTATATGGAAGAGCTGTAGATTTGGTGTCTTTTCCGGTGATATCGAAAAAGTTTGGGACAC